CACACTGGCCAGGCCCAAACCGGAAATTCTTGCCCTGACTAAGTGTATATCCTAATGGGATAGGACAATAAATATGACAAATCAGTACAATGTTAAGTGCTAAGGAGGAAAATGAAGTTGGGAAGGAGACTGGAGATGTTGAGTGTAGGAAGCAGGGTGCAGTTCAAGGCAGGTTGTCCAGAACAGGACTGGGTGGGAAGGTGGAGACCTGAAGAGGCGAGGAGGCCAGTGGCACAGGTACCTGGAGAAGGAAGCACCTGGAAGAGGCGGTCTGAGGAGCTGAGGCGGAAGCGGGCCTGGCTCCTTCTCAGAGGAACAAGGAGGCTGCTGTGGCTGGAGCGGGATGGACAACTGGTGAAGCCAGGAGAGGTCTTTGGGTTTCACTCGGCAATGAGAAGCCATGGGGAGGTTTGGCCCCCAGGCTTGGAACGTGGATATAATTTAGTAAAGGGAGCTAACCATAAAAAAAGTTAAATTAATAACTAAATTCAGCTGTAAATTGTCAAGCAGACTGGAAAGGTAGGATTTACTGGAAGATGGAGAGCTGGGACTGAGTGGGGAGTAAAAGCTGGAGTTAACAGTGTATAGGAGCTGTGTGTGAGAGGTTATGAAGACGGATGCGGTGTAAGTGTGAAGTTAGGAGGCGGATGCAGAATTCGAGGAAACTTTGTCGCAAGAGTCTGGTTGGGGAGACAGTGAACACACCCTCGGGGAAGCCCTTGCCTACTCACGGGCTGGAGGGACAGTCCAGTGAGGTCCTCAAAGTGGCATTAGTTGTCTCCCTTCTTTTTTCTTTTAGTTGTTGGATGCGGGTTGTTTTCTAAGGAGATCTGTGTTCTTTCTCAGACTTCTTGTGATGTGAGTATGAAAGGAGGAAGGGAGGATAACTGGAAATCTCCATCTATGATGTGGTCTTCGTGTTAATGCCCGGCTCATCCTCCAGAGGAGGGTGGGTAGGTGGCCCACCTTCACACCGCTGCTGCAGGTTAGACCCACAACTGTTTTTAAAGACTACAATAGAGATCTACGATTTTAGGCCTACAAAACAAGGCCTCAAAAGTACTACATTGATTTCTATTTATTTTCCTTTTTTTGTCATAGCGTTGCTATCCTACTTAAAAAATCTTCACCCACCATTACCAAAAGTACAGATTTGTTTAATTTTTATATGTCAAATAACAAAGTTACTTGCAAATCTTCATATTTTTACAAGTTGAATTGTGTGACTTTCATCTCAAGCTTCCAAGTTGTTTTTATTTATTTATTTTAGAAGGACGAAGGTAAATAAAGCCTTACGTTGTCAGTACTGAAAGCAAAATTTCCGGGGCTGTTGTTGCTTCTGCCAAGGAAAGATCGCCCTCTCTTGGCGGACGGTGTTAAAACACGCAGCAGTGTTTTCTGTCTAACTTCAGTGTTGCTTTCTAATTTCGAATTGGAGTAGTTTGCCCCGAAATATATTTTGGATATACAGCCCATAAGTGGATGTATACAGGTAATTTCTCTTGTGACTTTAAGATGGAAGTCAAAGTGAAAATGGAAAATTGCTGTAAGAAGCTGATGTGTTTTTAAACTCTTGGAGGCTTTGAGATGGAATAAAACCTATTTCTATTCTCGACCGAATGGGAAATATTAAACTTTTCAGTAGGCAGATGGTAAGTATTATGGACTTTCCTCTTTTTCTCATGAGTTCTTCTAATTCAAACCCTGTACCTGTTACAGCATTACTCTGCATTAAAGATCCTGAATGCCAAGATTGAACTGTTGTATTTTTGTACTTTTTTCCCTTAAACTTGTTTGGTGCCATGAGAATATCATTACACACAATTTCTGTTGCAGAGTTTCTAGCAGTATTAGTTCATCCTGACTGATGCCCTTGACTCACAGTCTAAGCAGGAACATAGAGATGGGTGACAAGGATTGATTGGCAGTCCTCCTTCTAAGCGAAACAGTAAAGCTGTCTAGATAAATCACTAGCTCAAAAGTCTGGAGAATGCATTTTAAAAGAATTAAGGGTAGTGGGTGTGTGAGTTTAGTTGGTGGGGGATTTTCTAGAAGAGCTGCAAGGACACAAAGGTTCTATCAGGTCTGTTTTACTGTTGTTTAATTTTTATTAAAAATTAGCTTATGGGTTTTATGAAGCTATTGGAATGATTATTTGCTTTGTCTTTTTTTAAGAGAATTTAAAAAAATTAAAGCAAACTGAAATCAAGATCTCACGCCTTTTTAAAAAATATATAGTTTAACTTTGTTATTATTAGATTTTAACTTCAGGGTTGAGAGGTGTCACCTGATTTCCTCTCTGTCAGTTTTAAGCCATCACAGCTGATAAGTGAAAAATATTTTCGTATTTTCTGGCATTTACTCCATGCCAGGCAGTGTTCTAAGCACTTGACCTGTATGAACTCATCTAACCCTGACACCCACCCAGAGAGATAGCTGCCATCTCACACCACACGGCACACAGAAACCGAGGTACAAAGGAGCTCAGCAACCGCCCCTCAAACGACGGGTCTGGGATCTGAACTCGGATCAGTAGCGCAAAAAGCCTGGAGAATGCATTTTAAAAACTAACGGTAGTGGGTGTGTGAATTTAACTGATGGGGAAATTTTCAGCCATTGCATTACCTCCTGCCTCTCTCCCTCCTTTTCTCTTTCCAGATTCCCAACTCTAAGGATTAATTTTTCACTCACTGTGCTTTTTACCTGATGTGGTTTCCTCAGCTCCCAGTTCGGGGCTGTCTTCAGTTTTTGTTTGTTTGTTTATTTTCTTCCCCCTGAGACTGGTGAGAACACACCTCCACTTCCCGCAGTCTCTGCTGCTCTCTCACCCTCGCCCCGGGTGGTCCCTGGGTGGTCCCTGGGTGGTCCCTGGGTGGTCCCTGGGTGGTCCTCTCCAACTCTCACACGACTTTTGCATTAAGTTACATAACATCGGGACTAGAAGCTGATGCTGTAGTAATGGCTTGACCAGTTCTAAGTAAGAAAACATTAATAGTACAATTACCTCATTGTTTCTACATATATCTTCTATTTCTGTTTATCACATCCTTTTTTTCCACTACATTTGCCAAACACATTCTCTTGCCTTAGCTCTGTTATGATGCCATTTTATTATTTATGAATATGTCTCAGATGTCCCAAGACCTTTGTGTGTGGACTGTAATCCACAAACATGTTTGTCTCTTTGTGGGCATCATACAGCATCTCCTAAGGTGATTTATGAAAGTTTATAACTGTGTATCCTAGGGTCTCGTGGCTCCCAAGACACACGACTATTAATATGTTGAATGCGTAAATTCCCACTGAGTGTAAAACTGTCTCAGACTGTTGTGTGATTCCATATGATAAATGGATACTGTGGACCAGCCGTTGGCACAGTATCTTCCTGGCTGCACCGCGGGGAAGGGAATGAAGAATGGATTGCCGTCTCCCACTGCCCCACACCCAGGGTCCCTCACCGCATCCCCCACACTCCCTATCTGTGCGGTGTAATCCACTGGGCGCTCCACTCTTACCGAAGATGAGTTTTCTGCCCCCTGAGCCAAAGAGAATTATGACCTGATTACCGAGTCCCGAGCAACACTGAGTTTGCAACAGTGAGTTTGCAACAGTGAGTTTGCAACAGTGAGTGTGCAGTGATCACTGCTGTCCATTATCCAGTACAAGTTTCAGTGTTGTACATGCAGCTTCCCCCCTCGATCCCATTCTGACAAAATGGTATTTATGATGCAGAGTCTGAGGTAGCTAGGGATGGGTGGTGGGTCCCCTCATACACAGGTTCTTGACTGCACTACGCGGGTTTGTTTTGTTTTTTAATTACGGGTGCTTCTGAGCTGCAATTTTTAACCCCTAATGGACCTGACACTCTCAGGAACCCCAGCCGCCTCTTTAGTTATATTGGAGCAAGGTCTTAACTACTTTGCCTGTTTCTTTCTTTGAAAATAATGCACACTGTTGCCTGTAATGTGTCCAATTAATGCACCAAGATCCCCTTTTTAACTGGCCTGTGCATGGTCTTGTGATCTTCTACCCAGACTGTGGGAGCTTGGGACAGTGGGTTGGAGTTGAGGGGGCTTTTCCTTCCAGCCGGGACCTCAGGTGTTCCTGCAGCATCCTGTTCTTGCCTCTGTCGTATTATGATAGCATTGTATTTATCCGTTTCCCTGGAAGTTTCCCCAACCTGAATGAAATTCCCCAAGACTGTGAGCCTGCATTTTAGGGCTTGGCTTTAGCATGGTTATAAAATAGCAGTAATCTCTGTTTTCCCCAAGTATCATAGGTGTTAGTACCGATCTGAGGAAATCTAAATACCATACATACACATATTTTTGAACAAAAGTGATTGTTCAACAGTGGACTTACAACCAAGCTTTTGCAGTGCAACCACCTTTCGTCCAGTTTCACACCTCTGGGCCGACGCCCCTGTGACGTCTTCCAGAAGTCCTCCCTCCTGCAGTGCCCCCTTCTCCAAACTGCTCTTTGCTATGAAAACAACCAAGAGGTCACCTCTTCTGAAAAGTCCTCCCTCACCCCTCTCCCATTCAGGGCTTATCCCTCTTTCCTTCATTTCTGTGGCTCTCTCGCTGATGGGTTCCTTGATGTGGGGACATATACCTTTTTTTCTGTTCCATGGTATGCTGCTCAGGTGCAGGCAGTGGTTGAAGCTGTGAGAGGGGATGTGTTGCCCAGGAAGAGACCTGGAACCTCACAGAGATGCTCATTTAAGAAGCAAGAGAAGGAACAGTTGCTGGCAAAGAAGGCGGCAGCTTCTTCCAGAGTGCTGACCCTGTCAAGGGGCAAACTGCCTAGGGGTCAGCCCAGAGTTATATCAGTTATAATGTTGATTTTTTTAACCCAGAATGTGGAAGTTATAAACACGTACATTTTTGTTTTCATTGTGAGAAGACTCTAAAAGTTTTCCTTCTGTTTTAAACATTGGTGTTAATTTTACTGTAGAGTTTTTAATTCTTTGAATGAACATTTTAATTCTTTTTTTTCAGTTGTCTATGAACACAGATCAAGATTAGAAAAATCCTTGCAAAAAGAAAGACTTGAACATAAGAAAGCAAAGGAAGGTAAATAAATAATGTAATTTGTGTTTTGTTTTTATCTTATTTGAGGAATCATGTATTTGGTTTGTTACTGTTTTTTTTTGCTAAGGAATTAAGGAAGTCAACCCAAAGTCAGATGTCAAACAATTTGCTGCTCATTGTGCAATAAAATAATTCCTGCTCAAGACTGGATGTAGAATCTTTCATTCACTGTGTGCCACCTTGAGGTGGTTCTCACTTTGGTTATATATTATTTTAGAAAGAAACAGCTTTTCATTTATATATTATACTCATATGTTAGTAATACCTAGAACTTTTGTTTACAAATATCCAGAAAGTAACAGTATGCATTGTCCAGAATATATAACAACTTTTATAGATACTTATGCGTATGCATGCACATTTATAATGTAATAAATTGTTCACATTGCATGATGTCTTTTAAGTTATACAGTTGTTTTTATCTTAGGGCTTTTATTGGACAGCCAACTGGTTCAGTTTGAAAAATTAACATTTAGCACAGGTATTAGGCAGTGCCATGATTTTTATCAGAATTTTGGTATAAAGCATCGGCTTTTATACAGCTTGTGACTTAAAGTTATCTGCATTTATATTTTTATTCATGTTCTGAGATAAATCTTGAGATTAAAGTTACATGTTCTGTCTTGATTTACCTGGTGGCTGAAGGAGGGCGAGCAGGGGAGGGCAGAATTGGTGAGGATGCTTCACTGACCCTTGGATTAAGCCTGTGTGAAGAATAGCAGTTTAACATCATTGAAATGCTTTGATAGGATTTGGATTTTCCATGTCTTCAAATGCAGCATGACTTTATGGGGCCATCTAGTGGATAATAAGCTTTAAGAGCATTAAGAGTGGTTTCCATGGCTTGAATTCTCTTTTCAGGTCCCGAATGACTAGTGAGCCACCTAGTGGGTTGCAGTGAATCATCTCTGTCGTTAGCTGTGCTGCATGTTTGTTCTGCTCCTTAGCTTCAAGTTAGTTAGTTACCGAGTGCACACTCTGAATGCACTTTTAACCGGCTGGTTATCATGTAGATGTAGTTAATGTAAGATTTATAGCTTTTAAGGTAAAGAGAATTATATAATCATCCCCCCCCACCATTTTCTAAAGCAGGAGGAGGCAAAATAAAGTAGATATGTCACCAAGTAGACTGTTTTAAACCTAGAACTATTTTTTGTGAGTCTGAGTAAAGTTTGCCTTTATTCTTTTAGGTGTTTAAAAATTTCACAAGGAACTGACTTATACTCTACTTCCTTCATTTTGTATTTTCCAGATTTTCTTGTTTATAAATTAGAAGCACAAGAAACGCTAAATAAAGGAAGGGTAAGTTTTCTTTTGTTTTGTTTTGTTTTTCATGAAATTTAGAGGATAAGGAATTGTCGCAAAATAGTTTGTCAATCGTTAGTATCGTAGGGCTGAAATATATTTTTTTTGCTATCAAAAATTTTTAAGAGGAAAACTTCACAAATCGTTCTTTTAAATCCTACCTTTGCTGATTTGTGATAGCAATAAATTGGGAATAGGTAATCCTCAACAAAACCAGCAATTTATTTTCATTCATTTATTTGTTCATTTCTTTATAGTCTCTTTTTTGTAGAATACAATGTTTCTTTTGGTCTGCCTTTGTACAACATCGTTGCCACTGGAACACACGTTACTGTGTAGCATCTAACACAGTGTGGTGGGCTCCCAAGAGCCAAGGTCCTCTTCGCTCTCCAAGCAGCTGAGAGACTTGTCTCCTCCCTCCACCCTCCTCCCTCTTGAGCTCATCCAAAAACGTCTAGTGAATGAATGAATAAGTGATATTACCATTACAAAGTTTTAATTCCAAATTAACTGGAGAACAACTGGTCTTTTTTTTTTACTCTAAAAACGTAAGCTTTAGCTGAATAAAACATTGGTATTTGAGGGTCTTACAACTGAGAAGAGTCAGTTCCTTGGGTGGCTGGGATGCTATTAGCTTTCAACTCTCACTTGCTTTTAAAAGTCCTGACCAAAACTGTGTGCATTCTCTAGTCCATTTTATAGTGTGATTTCCTTGCAAATTAAAATCAAGTAGTAAAGCAATAAAATGAGAAATCAAAAAGCAGTTCATTTCAGAAGCTGTAAAAATATGAAATAAATGATGGAGCATGCCCTTGTGCTGGCCGTGGAATGAGCAAGGGGCAAGGCATGTCAGATAGAAGACAGCAGGGGGAGAGAAACCTTCAGGTGTCTTGTGTACTGACTGGTCACGGCTGCCCAGAACTGGGAATGTGTGAGGTCCCCTTGTGCAGACGCTGCTCCAGGACCCAGTGATGTTCCCCTGGGACATGGAGCTCAGGCTCAGGCTCAGGCTCAGGCTCAGGCTCTGACTCTGCTGCTGAAGGAAGCGTCTGCCCTTGGTCTGTTCCTTATCCTAATTCTCACTCTGTGAAGTGCGGTCTCACTGGGGTAAAGTGGTGTATGTGGAATTTCTTACCCACTGAATGAAGCTCAGGGAAGGAAAGCACCTTTCTCTCCCCTCTATTAAGCCAAGCTGAGCTTACGAGGCCTGGTGCTTGGTGGTTTAGCCCCGATTTTCCCTGGAGTGCCCAGCACAATGTATTAGTATCCCTACCGCGTGCCGGGTCTCAGGACAAGCTCCTCCACCGGCAGCCTCAGTTCTTCTGAACGTGCAAGTGGACGTAATATCTCCAAGGGCCTGTCAAGCTGCTATTTTATGATTTCATGTCCTCTTTTTCATTACTAAAATCTAGTAAACTTATGGAATGCTAAGACTTAATTTCTGCTATTTTATAAAGAGATGGCCTCAGACATCCTGGTTCAAGTGTAGAATGCCTTGTAGCTTATGCAAGCGAAATAAATGAAATTCTTCTATTAAGAATTTTAAGCTGTGCTGGCTGGTGTAGCTTAGTGGATTGAGCGTGGGCCTGCGAACCAAAGGATCACGGTTCGATTCCCAGTCAGGGCACATGCCTGGCTTGCAGGCCAGTTCCCAGCAAGGGATGCATGAGAGGCAACCATACATTGATGTTTCTCTCCTTCCTTTCCCCTCTAAAGATCAATAAATAAATACATCTTTAAAATAAAAGAATTTTAAGCTATGCTTAGCAAAAGAGCCATATTTAAAAAATCTCTTGTTAACTATTTTCTTTTCAATTTACAGCAAGACTCCAACAGTAGATACAGTGCATTGAATGTGCAACATCAGATGTTGAAGGTGAGTAATGCAGTGATGTTCCTCGTGAGTGAGTGAAAGGATTAACGAAGTAACTTAAGCGATTAGGGACAGTTACAGGGAGTTGATTTCTGTTATAATGTGGTGTAGTAAAGTCACTTGGCTAAAAGGATATAGCAGTATAATGAATGCCCCTCATATTTATTACCTCATTACAAAGAACATAGTTAGCTTATTACACAATTATAACTCATACTCTCTGGTCAGCTGATTTTTTTCTGTTCTTTTTATCCTTTAAGACTTTTTGTTTAATTTCTCATAGTAGTTTTCCTTACATATTTTACCTTATACTTAATGGAGGTGGTAAACTATTAAAATATCCCCTTTGTGCTACTAATATTTAAAAAGTGTCCTTTTAGCTACCACAAGGAAACAATTTATAATGAAAGATCCTCTCCTTGGATCTGGGATCAGATTCATTCTTGTGTGTCAGGAAGACACAGAGAGAGATTTATTGCCTCTGTCAGGCTGGCGGAGGTGAGGGTGTGGGCTGTGCCATTCTGCACTGCAGGCAGGCACGGCCCTGACCTTTACCTGGACACCCTGGCTGTTCGTCTGGCATTGTCCTTTCTCCTCTGTCATTAGGGCAAGTACTTTTTATCAAAACCAGAATCTTTTCTGTTATCAAGAAAACAACACATGAATTAAAGCAGACTGTCCTTTCACAGGAAGAATTTGGAGACTGTCGAATTTATCTAGTTGTCATTTTAGCACAGTGTTATGATCGAAAGTAAGATAAATGAGAATAATTCAATAAGTGGTCGATTTATTACTTCCCCCAAAGGGAAGAGTCTTTGCCTTCCTTCTTTAAACTGGGTCACCAGGAAGGCTGGAAATCAAAGAAGGGAAATCAGAAATGATTCTAGGGAAACACAAGAGTTAAAGGAGAAGTCTAGAATACCCCCAGAGGGTCAATTTTTCCATTAGCTTTACCCTGTGTGCACAGTAATTTGAGTGCTTGGGAATTTTCCCAGGTCCCTCTCTTTTCCATCTCTCACGCTAACTTCTAACTTCTTGTTATTTCCATTAATGTTAAAAATTAAGAAGAGAGTTATTTTTGGCCATGATCCCAAACTCTTTATTTGAAATGTGAAGGAAACAGAGGTGAGGGGCACAAATTAAAAGCAACCTGAGGGAAATGAAACCTACTCCTTATTCGTTCTTACTTTCTTGCAAGAGAAAGGCTAGGCTACCAAGAAATGGACTCTGATATACCGGTAATTTAGAGAATGAACGTTGTTGCTTAAGGTCTCATTCTTGCAGAGCCAGCATGAGGAGCTAAAGAAACAGCACAGCGACCTGGAAGAGGAGCACCGCAAGCAAGGAGAAGACTTCAGCAGAACATTCAACGACCACAAGCAGAAGTACCTGCAGCTGCAGCAAGAGAAAGAGCAGGAACTTTCCAAGCTGAAAGGTGTTTGAAAATCTAATTAGCCATTTTATATGGAAATAAGTGCTCATATTAATGTTTCAGTAGAACAATAGACTTATTTCATTTGTTTTTGCATGGTGGTTGATTTATCTGTATTATTGGTCCTTTTTTAGCTGTGTAATTTCTTTGTAACGTTTCACATTCATCCTTATCTCTTTGGTTTGCTTTGGGAAGTGGAGAATATTGAGTGTTTTTCAGGGAGGCTAACGGTCCATGTTGGGCAAGACAGTTCTGTGTGTGTGTGTGTGTGTGTGTGTGTGTGTGTGTGTGTGACACATTTGGCATCTCTGACCTCAGCCCACAAACTGTCATCCATTAGTGTTCCCTAGGCATTGTGATGACCAAAAACTGCGATGGCGAAGCCTTTCTCAAACTCTTCAAGGGGAGAAAAGAGTTCTGTCTGATGGCTGATTGTAGCTTGCAATAGGTCAGGCTCCTAGAGTCTAATGACCCTGGAAAATCAGCCTCTTCAATTACTCACTATGAGGGGGGAACCCCCCAAATCCCAGAATTATCTTCTGGAGGGCAGGCCCCTTGTAGCACAGATTTCCCCTGCTAGGTGAGTGTCCTAGGAACACACCTATATCAGTGTACCAGCTGGTGGTGTTGTGAGAGGTTGTGTTCCACTTCAGTGAACTTGTTTGGAAGACCTTTCCAACATGTTTGCCCATTTCGTGATGATGATGTATGTATGATTCATGAGCTCACCTGCCCACACCCCACTGAGTGTTCAGCAGTTTTTGGCCAAAAGTGGCATCACCCCCATGCCCCACCGTCCCGATTCACCTGGTCTCACCCTGAACGACCTTTTTTGTTTCCCTGGGTAAAAACAGTCCTCAAAGGGAAATGTTTCACCAACATGGTAGAGGTCAAACAAGAAATGGCAAAAGCACTAAAATGCATCAAAATTGAAGAGTTCCAAAACTGTTTCAGGCAGTGGTAAAATGTCTCGGTAGGTGTGTTGCATCAAACAGAGAGCACTTGAAAGGTGACTGACATGTAAGCAGTAAGAATAAATACACAGTGTTTTATAAACGACTTCTGTTTTGGGACCCCCTCGTATATGTCCACGGGCGGGTTGTGTGGTCACCACCAGCTTCCTTGCCCTCACCTGTAAAACTGGATATTCATAAACAGTGTCAGCTCGTAGGGTTAGTATGAGGAGTAAGTAATTTGTGTAAAGCACCTGGAACAGCTCCTGGTATGTGGGGAACCTTCAATATAAATCGCTGTCAAGTCAGCATCAGGTATTTTCATAGTAATATGGAACAAAATATATTATTCCTCGAAGTACATGTGAGTTTTGGAAAGAGTAATAGCACATTCTACAATGCCCTATTTAGTTATTAATATGAGTTAACATTAAATAATAGTAAATGTAAATAAACTATTTAAATAATGGAACCAAACACAGGCCCAGCTGCCAGCCACTACCAAAGCCAGTACTCCAGAGGCAGGTGCTGATGTAGGCAAGGAAAGTGATTTACTTGCAAATGCCAGCCATCTGGAAGATGGGGGACTTGCATCTCAAAGCCCATCTCTTGGAAGATGGAGCCCATCTCCCCATCTCAGTGGAGGCCAAGGTTTTTTTTACAGGGAGGGAGAAGGGAACAGAACAGAGACCAAGAGAGGGGGTTGCAGAGTTCTCTACGTGCAGACGGACACGGTCCATTCCGATGAGGCAAGTGATGGTTCAGCACGTACCATCCTGGTGTAGCCATCCTGGCTTCAGGTCATCCTGACCCCACAGTGGAAGGTCAGCAAATGTCCTGGAGCTGGATTGCCTGAAGGTTGAAGTCTGTGTCTTTTGAAGTTAGTTCCTAGGATTCTTATACAAACATGCTATGTGTCTACAAGCTACATATTAGTCAGAGTCGGCACTTACAGAAACAACGTCAAAAGAGTGGTGGGAGGAGTTACAATCCCCCACTGTTACAATTTCCCACTGTTACAATGAGTTTAAAGTGTGAGAAATGGTTTAAAAAGATACATGGTTCCTCCAAAAGCAGAGTTGAAATCTGAGTAAGGTCTGTAGTCTAGTTAATTGAACGGCGACAAACGATTCCCTGGTTTGGGTAGAGTGCACTACACTTACATGAGATGTCTTCACAGGAGCTGGGTGATGAATACCTCAGACTTCTCTGTGTTTTTCATGCAACATTTTGTCTATAAGTATTTCAGAATAATACGGTACAAAGAAAAGGCTCCTAGGAGGAGTTAAGTAGCCACTGAGGCAATTTACAGAAGGTTAAGGTGGTCTTGATCGAGTTGGGTGCCAGCAGAGGACACCCATGAAATGTGCATGTGTAGGAGCTTTGGGTTGTTGGGGATGCAGCAGGCGGTGAGGGGTGGCCAGGAGAACGGAGCTGCAGTGCATCTATGACAGACCTGCAGCGGTCACTACCTGCTGCTCAGGTTCCAGTGCAGATGCAACAGGAAAGGGTCCTCGCGCTTTCTGACTGTCTGATTGTGGCAGCCGAGATTGAATAGGGGAATACAAAAACAAACAAACAAAGAAATAAGACAGGGAGCAAGAAAGGCAACACCAGAAGTCCTCCCGAGGGTCGTATAAGGGAGCACCCCGGTGTCAGAAGGCCCTCGTCGTGCCCTGGAAAGCTGGCCCTCGAGCAGTGAGGGAAGAGACTTCTGGCACATTGGATGCTCTGTTTAGCATTTGCAAACCTGAGCTAAGCTGGGTAAATATACTAAATTATACTAACAATCAACAAGTACCTTAAGGAATGGGAAATAAAATTCCATAGGTGCCTGACTTGTGCTTGGCATACTTGACCGCATTAGTTCATTTAATTTTCGCAGTATCCCTAAAGTGCAGGTTTTCTTATGTCTACTCTGTATTCACCCCTTTCTTTGAAACAAAACCCTTGTGTCATGCAATTTTAACAAATGAAGTATAGATGTAAGAAATAAGAACCATGGGCAGCAGGAGGACATGTATGTGGGTTCTACAAACGAAGATGATGCAAGCCTGTCCCCCACTCTGCACTCCCTGGCACCCAGGACAGAAGCAGAACTGCAGTTCCTCGTACAGGCTCTGATTCTCGGGAAGAGTGCTGACCTGGGGGCAGCGTGGGAGAGAGACAAAGAGAGAGTAGGAGGGAAAGAGCGAGAGAAAACACTACTTTTGTTACCAATTAGTTTTTGGGAAAAAATTCTGAAAGAGACCTAACCAACAGAGTGTGATAATGCCTTGATGACACTTTTGTAAGTAATTTCTGAGTCAGCAGTCTTTTCCATCACCATTCTTGATAAAGCTTAGGCCGGTAGGTTAAAGCCTATTGTGGTAGACTCAGGTCCGTAGTGGCAAACTAAGGTGGGTAGTCCACGTGGTACCTGGCCGTTTAGTGTGACGTGAGGGAAGAATTTAGAATTCCTAGGGAGAGGAGCTGATAGCATGTAAGCTTAGGTAGCCGTTCCTTTCATTATCACCATCGTGACCGCTGACTCTGAACAAGTGTTCGCCGTGTGCCAGACTCAGGTGAAACTCGTCACGCAGTTTTCTTGTTTAATTCTCATAACCTGTAAGGCAGGCGTTGTGGTCAGCCTGATATAACGAGTGAAGAAATGCAGGCCTACTAAAGTTGAATAACTCCAGTTAACACAGCAAAGGCATGGGAGGCACCGCCGTTAAATTTATAATCTCTGATTACTTTCAAAGCTCGCGAAGTTTGGGTATTTCTAGTGTGTGTTCCTGTGTGTATATACCGAAGCCCCATCCAGCCAGCGACACATTTGCAGTCCTTGCATTGCCAAGGGTCCTGTTTCAACCTTTGAAGAAATCTATTATCACAAGTGGATGGATAAGTCAGTCACTGGGCACCTTGTCATTCCCCACCTTGTTAATCTGTCCCCCAAACCCGACACAAATTCGACACCCAGGAGTCAGCAGGGGAACCGCAGGAGTGAAAGTGGACGGGAAATGTGTAGAACGATGGTGACCGGCACTTTTCTTCAGTGCTGCGTAGTGTGCTGGAGACTTAGGGTTTTGTCGGCAGTGGGTGGCTGCCCCTTAGGGACAGTTTCCCCCCAGCACAGCCTAGGTTTACGCCTGCTGTCCCTGTATAATAATTAACAGCCTCTGCTTTCACTCTCCAAAACATCTCTTGGAAAATAAATGGCATATGGTCACCTTTCTACCACCCAACTTCCACTGAGTGTTGCCCATGAGAATTGGCCGAGCGTTGCCAGTTTTATTAGACCCAGATTCTTGATTTTATAAATGGTGAAAACTACCCAAATGCGGACAATTCTTATATAGGACAATGTTGCAAGGCAAAAAAAAAAAGTTTGTGGCTGCCGGTTTATACCATTTCATATCCAGACACAGGGAAGTGAGAAAACTACCCAGAAGGTAAGAGCTGGGGGTCTAGAGGAACCTGTAAGTTACCGCAGCTGTGCCCTGAGCAGTAGGGCACAGGACTGGGGAGGTTTTAGGACTTCACCATGATTGCTGGTTTCACCGTGGCATCCAGGAAAGAACTTCCCTGGAGCAGAGAATTTGGAGTGGTCAAGAACTCAGTGGTGGGAGAACAAACGTCCAGCTGGAATTTTTCAACAGGTGTTTCTTATTCCTTGAGTTGCCTTTATAATGGAAACACCTTTTGGGGGTGGTGGAAATTATTCATGCACTGAGAAATAGTGTTTGTTCTTTTTGATAACTCTGTCCTAAACTTGTAAAGAGACACACCTTGGACCACCCCTCCCGTCACATTTTATTCCTAAGGGTTTGCTTATTAACAGAAATATTTCATTTTTAACTCCTGAGTAATTAAAGCTTCTTAACTTCTTCTATGCTGTGTAAGCTATTTAAAGATATTTGAACTACCAAACCAGCTTGTACTGTACTGTTAGTGGGATGTCCAACTGAATCCGAGCCCAAAGGGTGTCATTTTTGCTGATGTGGAATATTACATTGACAAAGTTCAAAACAAACCCTAGAACAAGTTATGTGAAGCTTTAGACATGAAAATATTAGAATGAAAAGCCTAAAATTCTAAGGTTTTATGTGTGATTTTTCTTTTCCTAAAATAGAAACCGCGTACAACTTGAGAGAAGAGAATAGACAGCTGAGGAAAGCTCACCAAGACATACATACACAGCTTCAGGATGTCAAGGTAAAACAAAACCCTGTGTTCGACGGTTCTCTGTTCACCTGGTTTCCTGTGTCTGATGGGTGTACAAGCTGTTCCCTGAACGACCTGCTGGGCAAGTCCCCACAGTTAATCGGGCTTCAAGTAAAGCAGAATATGCCTAGTGCTCTCATCACTTCTGCATCATAAGCTGAAAAGAGAAGGTCTGAAAACCAAACATTTTCATTAGTGCTGAAATGATTCTCTCGCTAGCCGGTTGCATTTTAATGTGCTTTTTATTTACAAAGGCTTATTAATAATGAAATATTCATTCCTTCTGTTTTGATTTTATTGTAAGTGATTGTGATTTCTGGGTAGCACACTCTGTAGATTTTAGAATACTGCATTAATCATAGTCGTCTGTGTAAATGATTTTTAAACTTGATAAATGCTGCGACAGCCAAGAAATCAATAAACAAGTAAGTAGTGTGTGGGTTGGTAATACCACTGTCAGCCAAAAAAGAATTTGTCTCAGAATGTTAAAACTCAATATGTAAAATTCTTTTTTGTGTAGCAGCAGCATAAGAATTTACTCTCCGAGCATGAACATCTTGTAGTGACTTTGGAAGACCACAAGAGTGCACTAGCGGCTGCACAGGTTAGCAGGGTAGCAGCTGCTGTCGGCTCTTCTTCAAGTCTGCTTAACATTTCTGAATTCCTTTGTGCATGTAGCTTCTTAAAAGCCAATCTGCAGCGAGTTCCTTAGCACAGAGCTATCCTGATCCCAAAGATCATGCATGCTTTCAAAAATCAGTCACGAGAATATTAACTAAACCTTTGATTATTTTTTTGCACTGCTGGTGTAGTGCCTCAGCCCTTCCACACAGCGTTCTGGTACTTGGTTAAACCATATGGTCTCTTGCCACTGTCCGACCTGTGTTGACTCTCGCTTTAGGAGTTCCAGGGTTTTATGACTCGAGCTGCCTAAGTAAATTATTGTCAGACGTTTTCTTCCCTGCCTTCCTTGCCGCCAGCATTCTAGCCGACACACACTCCTTTTGGGACTAGGCTTAGATGCTGTTGCTCAAATTACAGAAAAAAGGAAGAAATCTCATATCAGTAGAGAAGGAAAAACAAGAGTCATAATCTCCATTTGTTCAAGTCTAGAACAGCCTGGCACAAGGCGGGCCCTCCACAGAGACTTGCTGAATGAACAAATGAACAGGCGCTGAGGCCGGAGTGCGGGTGTTTCACAGCTTTCCCGCGGGAGCAAGGGATAGGATGGCTGGCCGGTCACTGTGGCTTCCTAATCATCCGGTCTTCACTTTTCCTCTCCTGGAGGGATGAAGAGGAAAGGGCAGAGGAAAACTGGCCATCTGTATTTATCAGGAGACCATGTATTATTTTCTTCTCATTATAAAATTATTAGAAGTATAGCATGGTGGGCCCTGACCCGTCTCCGAGGCTGCAGCACCTGCATTTGCGGGACCCCTTTCAGAGCATCGATTTTCATGAGTGTCCATGAGTATCCGTGATTTCCAGGAGATCCATTTCATGGTATCTCCCTGCAAAACTAGCTGCATGGTGATTTTTTATGCATGCCTAAACAAAATTGACTTCAGAGGGATTATGTCATTCAAAACCTTCATTATATGTCTTGCTAAGTAATATATTATTTAATGTGAGGCTGTTTTTTTACACTGAAAACTGTGACAAACCGATCTGAATAATCTGCAAGCTATAATAGCCATAAATATTAGACCAAGCAACAATTTGAAGATCCAGATAAATATAAGGAAAATAGTTTATTTAATGACCATGGCCAAATTCTGTAGGAAGCACACTGGAAGTGTTACTGACAGGGTTTTTTTGTAGGAAAAAAAAATTTAAACTTAACCTGTTTATATTTTTCTATTTCTTTAAATATCATTTGACTCTTTGGGGAGAAAGCTCCAGGTTTGTCCTGCCTTTTTAAAAAATAGTTATGCCAGAACTAGGCATAATACTTAATTAGATTGTCACCTCCAATTCCCATATTAACATTTTCTCTGTGTCGTCTTAGAAAACAAACACCATTTAGACATCTGCATTTCTTATATAAATCACCTTATGAGACAATTTCATGTTTAAATATAGCTGAGGGAGGAGAAAGCAAGAACAGAATAAAATTTGAGTCTTTAATTATTGGGGATTATCATGAGAACTTTACATTACAGAATTTAATATTTGCAACCTGCTGAGTTACATAGTACTGTGCTCATTTATAACTAAATGATAGTGAGGCCAAAGGGAAAGAAAGTAGCTGGGCTAACACCAGGAACGAGCTGGGAGACAGGGGCCTCCTGACATCCGAGTCCCATTGAACTGAAGCTGGTGTTTTTGCAGACTGCCCTCCGCCACAGTTACCTGGGACTGGCCCCAGACCCACTGAATCCTAACTACTAGAGTGGGGCCCCAGGGGCCTACACTTTTAACTCGATCCTTCCGTGATTCCTAATGCACACTAATATTTAGGGAGCACAGCATTAATGCCTTCAGAGATTATATATTTAGAAGGACAGGAAAGAAGAAAGGCTAGTACTAAGGTTTGTATATTCTTCCCTGTCTATCCTAAAATATTAAAAGTATCACTATGAGGACGTCAGTTGTGTTTTTTTTCCTTGACCTCCAAGGTTGGTTGACAAGTGTTTTGATAGATTTCTGAACTAAGGGCTGCCAGTTAGCCCCGTGGCACACCTTTGTACAAATTACAAAGAAGCACTCCGGAGACAGGTTCTGCAAGCAGACCTCTTCACCTTGCGTGCATTAGAAAAGGCAAAAGGCGCTTCTTCTGTGGGATGTGGAGCGCTGTGCGGGGAGCTTCGGCAACACGAGCACCAGCCAATTCTGTCTGCAGCGCCCATCTGCTCTGCACATCAGGGCGAGGCAGCCCGTCTGGGAAGCTTGTCCAGAACAAGATTTCTGTATTCTTTGTGTTTCTGCAACTGTGTCTGCACACACACCATTTGTTTTAGGGTAACAGTGTTGAGGTGTATGATGAGCTAAGTATACACAGTGTCTATTTTCTTAGTTAGAGTGTAACTTTTTCTTGCCTTTCTAGTTCCTTGTATTAGAAGTATTCCACACACACATGCCCCACCACTTATACGCACAGATACATTTTTTAAATGCCTACATGAATGCCTTTATCACTTTAGGAGAGAGGTACAGTCAGAACTGAGAAGTAAAAACCCAGCTTCACTTCATGTCTATGCTGTTGCTTTCCAAACACTGCAGGTGCTTGGGGAGTGAGAGGTCCCAGTGGAGCACAAGTGGACTGGGAAAAGGGTGGCCTGTGTGGTTTTGTGTGTTTGTATGTTCCGTTCCTTATCTTCAACTTATGATTCCTCGCCCCTGAAAAATGTTACTCAGACCATATTGGTAAAAGATATCTGCACCTGTATTTGTAATTAATGTGAGTTTTTATAAATTTTTAGATGCTATAAAACCAATTGCATAGGTGTCTTTTAATAGTGTTATTTATACTAGGAAGTTATACAAATTCTGACTTTGTTTAACATAGCATGGGAAACTAACATCTGTCTTAGATATTTTCTTCTGTTTCTTGTAATTCAAATTCTAATTTGCATGTGCTTAAAAAAGGTTAAGCATGTTCAAGTAAGACTAGCTAATGCATGCAAGCGATCTTCATATTTTTTCTAACTTGTATTTAGGTATAATATTTTTGTTTATTCTTCCAGTGAACCCTAATGCCCATCCATGAGTGATATCTTTTTCCTTCTTCAAATTGTGCGATTTCTGTGCAGACTCAAGTTGCGGAATACAAACAGCTGAAGGACACTCTGAACAGGATCCCAAGCTTTAGAAAAGCAGAACCCGCAGAGCGGCCGAGTGTTACCCAGGTGGCTCACTCTCCACAAGGTGACAGCACAGCAAGGGAGAGCCCAGCCAGAGAGCCACAGCAGGTGAGAGGCTGGTGACCTAGGGGCAGGTCACCCTCCCTGTCAAGCTGTCATCAGGTAAACGGCTTTTCCTGCAGAACAACGGTTCTTCAATCTCAGCGTGTATCAGAGTTCCTAGCAGGGCCGTCAAAACAGAGGTCGCCAGACCCCGGCTCAGGGTTTCCGGTTCGGCTAATTTGGGGCGAGGCCCAAGGATTCGCATTTCTGATTCAGCTGGTCTGGGGAGCACACGTTGAGAACGACTGCAGTGGTTTCTGGGGAAGACATAGTGGCTTTGTCTTTATTCATATGGGTCTATTTGTGTGAAAGAGGTTGTAGTGTCCTGGGATTTTTTAAGGTTTTGTTGTTGTTTGCTTGTTTATTTTTAGAGTAAGAAGCTAAATGATCACGAGTATCTGATGTGATAATCAGCCCACTCAGATATTAAAGTGGATGATATATTTGAATTTGATGCAGTGCTAGGCCCCCGTAGAACAGGCCCGAATCCGCATTGCAAGGCCTTTGTGAAGCTGCCACGGCTGTGAGTGCTGTTGTCACGACCAACTTTTTTATGTTCCCGTTCTTCATAAAAACTAAGCCTTGCTTCAGAGTCTCTGATGAACAGGACATCAGAAGTGGTGTCACCCTAATCATTGATTCTTACAAGTCGATTTTGCAAATCACGGGCATAATAAAAATGGCAAGTGCGGTGACGTTTCCCCTGGCGAAGTCGTTAAGTGCACATCTGAGCAGATGGGCCCCCAGGGTCCCATCCCAGGGGCATGCGTGAGTGATGCGAGTGGGCCTCTGCGAGTCTTCGGCCCTCGCAGAGCACCGTTCACAGCCAGGACGGTGTCCTCGTGGGTCCTCGCTCTTTGTCTGGGTCTCGGGTTACCGCTAATTTATGAAAACACAACCAGATCCCTGGCCGGGGAATTGGTTTTATTCTCTGCCCTCGTTGACCAACAGTCTACCAGGCTCATCTTTTAACATCTCAGACCTTCAGTTTTCCCGCCTGCCAGGTGGAGATAGTTATTTTCCGCTCTGAGCTTTCGCCCAGGGATATTGTGGAGATAGATGACAGGTGGTTGAGAGCACTTCGTGCCCTTTAGAGAAATACTTCACGTCAACCCAGGACAGTGTTATGTCACACTCGCAGGTATGTGAGGATGCTGGTAAAATGTGCATCTCCAAAAGTTTTCCTCAGATGTCCGAGAAAGGACATTTCTTCTAAGTTTATTTATTCATTTATACCCGCCATCTTCTCAGTTATACTCCCGTGAATTTAAGGAGAGGCCTTCACATTTATTTCAATTATGGGAGAGCAGTCTGACCAAAGAAATGATCTTTTCTGATCAACGAAGCGGTGGAGAAAGGCATCGCGAATGCGCCTGTGGGTGTTGTATAATCTCTGTGTTGCTCCTCTTTTCTGATTAGTGAAGATCATGTAAAAATGTCTGAAACTTACAGGGAAAGTGGATTTCATCAGTTAATTTTAGAAGAGGGGTGCTCTTTAGACACATCATTTTGTGTTGTTGCTAAGGTTCTGAGTTTTCTGTATTAACAGCACGAAATACAAAAGCCTTTCTCTGGCTTACAAAAAACCCACTACTTTAATACACTGAATAGGGTTATATTGTTTCTGGTTAATGGGCACTATTTTTAGCTAACGTGGATGTTCATTAGTAAAGGCAGTCTATTCTTTTTATGAGCTAACACCAAATAAACCCGACTCATCCTCTATTTGATCTCATCCTTTTTCCAGTTACTAAGGCAAAATTTACATTCAAGAAAAGTGTGTAACTGTTTCAGCACTAAGTTCCCCCCCTTTTTATTCTAAGGGAAAAGAAGAGCTAGATTGCTCGTGCTGGGAAGGCCTGAAGATGCGGTCGCTCACAGGCTTTACCTTTGGGTCGTTGCCGAGTCCTCTCCCAGGTGGACCTCTGCTTCCTCGTCTCTACTCGATGGGTTGGATTTCACAGTGAGAGCAGTTCAGTGGCTGCACTGAGGCCACGCTTTTCAGTCAGGACTCTATTTCTAGACTCTAGGATTTTGCTTATGTTGTAACCGCACAGATGTGTTTGTAAATAAGTTACGTCCCTGCTTATGAAATAGAAGAGTGTCATTTCCCGGCTTGTGTTTGGCCTAGGTGTCTCGAAATGGTCACGTGTGGCAGAGGCACGAAGCCGGGCCTGGGAGAACGGAAAAAACAGAGCCTTCCCCTCCCGCTCGGAAGGACGCGGAGTTCCAGGCTCCGGCGGAGCAGAGCCAGCACGGAGCGGAGGCCGGGAAGCCGGAGGAGCAGCAGGTGGAGGAGGAGCACAGGAGGGCCCTGGAGGAGGAGGCCATGGAGCAGGTCGGGCAGGCCGAGCGTCTGGAGGAGGAGCACGACCGGTCCCCAGAGGAGCAGGACCGGGAGTGGAAGGAAGACGCCAACCTCGTGGGAGGGCGCGCTCCTGCCGAGGGAGGCGGTCACCCCCCTCAGGTGGGCCCTGCTTCGGTTCGGCCTGCTGGGAGAAGACGCGAGGCTTCCTTTCCAAATATTAAAGGAAAAAGCTTCCCTGTATATGACAGTCTCTGAAATAAGAATGCGAGTGATTTCACTGAACACTACATGCACAGACTTCAGTTTTCTTGTGTAATGTTCATAGCAGAGCCACTTCCATACCTAAGAAATGCCTTTGGAGAAAGGACAAAATTGCAGGGGGGTGTGTGTGTCACCGTGGGTCCGTAGTGCACAGTGCCGGGGACACATGCTGATGTCCCCTTCACGGCGTGGCACAGGGGAGCCCCTGCCTGGGCCCCTGACTGTCTGCGATCGTAGGTCTCCTCCTGTTCATTCACTGTCAGGTGTATGCTGGCTGTGGCCCATTTACCTTCCAGGTGGTTAGTAAGTTATCAAAAAGCTGATCTTATCACTTAAGGACACTCCACTAGCTGAGCATGTTCGACCTCTGCCCAGGCTGCCCCGACTGAGAATGCCCCTCTCACATAAGTATGATTTATGTAAGTCACTTAGTACATTTATAAACTGTACTTTCAGGGAACGTGAAGCTACACTGAATGCAGCTAGGCTCCTTGTCCCGTCTCTAAGCCGATACTCGACAATAGGCTGCCTGGTCTTTGCATGGATACTGAAGCCGTGTTTATTTATAACTAAAGCTGTTACTGGCCTTGAACTTTCCAAGGCTTCGAGCTGCTTGAAACTTCAGGCTGAGTAGGTATAAAACCCTCTGCAGCTGCACTCCAATGCCGCAAACTTAGCATCAGGAAGCCTCTCCCAGTTTTGTGTCCTTTGTGGCTTTCTTCAGAGTGATTCCTCGCTGCGTGTACTTGTATCAGCGGGGGGATGGAGGACAGCAGAGTTTAGGAATTCCTGTGTCAGACTTTCTTTTGATCAGAAGGCACTATCTTCTTACCCGTTCTGTTTCTTGGAAGAAAATTGGTTGGTTCTCTGCTTTTCCGCCCTAATCTGAAATTTCACTCTTTCAGTGATGTTTCACCTGAGATTGGGACATTGCTAGAGTTAATTAAAACCCCTCAGGGTGTTAAACTCATTTTCATCAGAGGCCAGCCACATCAGCCTCATCAGCCTCATCAGCTTCTCAGGTGCCTTCAAAGGGCCGAACGTAATTTCAGGACTGTGTAAATGTGACTACTCCTTAACTAGGGGCAAGGAGCTCAGCACTGCCACTGGGTCGAAACAAGGTGCCGGGGGGATAAAACAAGGTGGCCCTCGGGCCTTTTGTTGGCCATAGGTGCCCTAGATTTTTAGCCTAAAGCTCACAAATTGCCCCATTGAGTTTGAGGTCACCAAGTTCCCACGTATAGCAGGGCTATTTGAATGGAAGTTTAATTAGGGTTCAAAACTCACTTTTTTCTGTTTGCCCTCTTTTTTTTTAAGAGGGGGCACATTGAAAACTGGCCTTAAAGCCAATAAATCGGGCTAGTCAGTTGCTAAGAAGCCAAGGGCTACTCACAGGGAGTTGGAAAGTGGGAGTGCCAGTGCCGGGTGACCCTTGCACCTCAGGTCTCCTCACAGTTCACCTGACAGATACAGATAGGTGTTAATGCACCATCCCTGCCTCCTGAGTCTGTCCTGAGAAACAAAGGAGAATTCAAAGGACCTGACTGCTTCTGCTCAACTCCAGCTCATTTTTCCCCAGGTACATTCTTCAGCTGAGCCGGTTACCAAGTTCCGATCAGCGTACGAGGAGCAGCTGGAACAACAGAGACTGGCGGTGAGGCGTGCAGAGGAGGCCCAGCGGCTGAGAGAGCACCAGGAGGCCCTGCACCAGCAGAGGCTGCAGGAACACTTGTTGAGGCAGCAGCAGCAGCAGCAACAGCAGCAACAACTTCTCTCGCAGGAGATGGCCCAGCAGAGGCTGGCCCAGCAGGAGGAGGGGAGAGCACAGCGCCCGGAGCAGCTACGGTAGCCTTCCGCCGCACGTGACGGCCCCTCCGGTTTCTATAAGCAGATGAAACACAGCTTTGTGCATTTATTGTCCATGAACATGAGGGGCTCAAATTGCTCCTGTAGCTGAGGCAGAATTAAGTTCCAAATACTTTATCTTAAAAAATAATCAACCTTTTTGAGTGTGCTTAAAAGTGATAGTATAGGTCTCAGAATAACCTAGCAGGTTTGGTGCTAACTTTATTTTATTTTATCATTTGAAAGGCAGTGTATCTTTTTTAAGGTATCTTTTGGAAGTGTATCCAGAATCTTTATTAAAACTGAATTGCCTAAGTTTTTTAAAGAAGTTTTTATAGCTTGAAAAAAGTTGAAAAATTAGTTTATTACTGTCTTCAAAGATAAATGACTTACGTCAAACTGTGCTGCTTAATTTGTGTTGCTGAGTTGATGATGTCTGTGCCCCTTGCAGGCAGCAAGCTCATTACAATGCTGTGGATAATGATATCGTTCAGGGAGCCGAGGACCAGGCCATGCAAGAAGAAGGAGGCGGTAAGACTCCTTGGATGATGAATGCTTTAATGAAACTGCTCAGTAACAAGTGCCCACTCAGGGTTACACGCCCATCTGAGTCCGTGCGGAGAGACTTGTGTTCCGTGTGTCTTCGCTGGTTGTGTTTTTCTTCATTCTCCCAGACAGTATGCAATGGTGGACACAGTTGCCCAAGAAAATGTTTCCTCTGTAACACTTTAGAGTAGAAAGGGAATAGTAGTTTCAACTTTTGTATACTAGTCACTTCTGACACATTACCATAGGACCGGTGAGACTTTGGGAAATTTCTTCGTTTTCTCCTTGCCTTGGAGGCTTTTGGATCATTGCCTTAAAAGTTTTCAAAAATTAAGGTGATAGTAACTTTCCATCGTAGCGTGCATCCGGGTATAGAATGTATCGAGTGTGGCTCTTTCTGTGATAATAGAACCGGAGAGTAACTGTCTCTCCGCCAGCACTAAGATATGTATCCTTCCTAAGGAGACTGAAGAAGGGGGATTACTGGAACTCCGTCTCTAGCCTGTTCTGACACTTCATAGCCCTCGGAGTCGAGAAATTGTTTTCCTTATGTTCCCTGTGCAGCACTTGAAACTTTTTTGTTCTGTTATCAGAAAGATTAGGGAATGGTCTGTTCACTTCTTTACTTAATGAATTCCCCGATGCACTTGAAACCTAATGGTAAGTTGCCCTGTGTCCTTGTTTTCCACAGGTAAATCTTCTCTATCTGTGTAACCTTTCCTCTTACAGCTTACTAAAAAGGTTATTTGTCCTCTTATATGCTCTTATCTAAATTCACTATCTCAAACAATTTGTCTAAAAGCACCTGGTTAGTGTCTGTGTGAGTATGGTGTGGATGTATCTGAGCTATGGCCGTCATCCTCCCTCTGAGTCCGAGGTCACAGGACGGGCGCTGTTTGTGTTTTTGTTCCACACGTGGGGTTGTTCTTTCCTTTATTTCCTGAAACAGTATCCATTTCTACTCTTGGTACCTTGCTATTTCCTCTGATACTACCCAAAATTAGTTGGTAATTTTAGCAACATCCAGTGGACTGGGATTTAACTGAGAGAGTTTTGATTGTTGTTGTTTTGCGCAGTGGGGCGGAGGGGACAGGGAATGGCAGTCTCTCTCATAAACACAGAGAGTTAGAATGCTGCTACTGACCCTCACGTCTCCTTACGCACACACTCGGGGGAAAGGACGTGGCGATATTCAGGAAAGCCAAGATGGGAGCCTTATTTTGAGTTAACCTCACTGGAGGAGAGACAGAGTAAAGGGTCTCTGGGAAAGCCTGCTGGTGGTGGCTTTGGTTTTGTGAATGGAAAGAATCCTGTCTGGTTCTCCTAGACTGATGTTGGTTTCTTTGATTTGCCAGCCTATGAGAGAGACAACCAGCACCAAGATGAGGCAGAAGAAGACCCAGAGAATGGACGCATGCCCCAAGAACAAGGGCTGCCTGAAGCTGACCCCGAATCTGAGGTGGATGTAAGTGTCCGCTCTTCTGGTCATGATACTCGGCAACTCACAGGGCAGAGAGGAAACCTGAAGGTTTGCCTGACACCCTGCCCCTGACTCCAGATGGGCCTGTTGTTTCATCAGCCCCAGACAAGGATGGTTTGCGTGATCATACGATATGAGCAGTGTTGTTAACTGTAAAACATGGGGGGCGGGGCTTGATGAGAAGGGGTTAAAATTTGCTCTGGGAAAACATCAAAGGGTTCATTCTCTGATAACTTTTAGATTAGTGAATTAAAATTAACAAAAAGTAAAGGCAAAATTGTAAGGCATTGAAACATGTAGTCATTCTGAAGGATGGGGGGGGAGACAAGTGTGGGGGCTGGAGCAGGAACCAGAGAAAGGAAATGAACTATTATTGGGCATGGTAAGCGGTCTGCCGGGGCGTTACAAATGTCCCGTGACAGCAATTTCCCAGTAGTCAGTGACCATTTTAATAGGCACATGGGTTAGAATGCGTGGTTTGAGAAGGGAAAATTTTGCCCAAGTATCGTGATGCTGAATTGTGTTTACCAAAAAAGGACCAGGACTCCCAGTTCAGCTGGGTGGTCTGGGGCCTTGGCCTTGCCTGTGAGTACAGCAAGCCCTGTTGAGTGGGTGTGGTCTTGCGCGTATGTGTGGGTGATTATTACCACTTACTTGAGCTCTCCTGTCCTCTTCGTTAGTAAACCAACCAGCATGTTTATAAAGTTTAGTCTGTGCTGTCCTATGGACCCTGCATATATTATATCGACCTTATGGATTGAAAAAGGGCTCCAAGTCCTTGATTACTGTTGAGAAAGTCTTCCTGATGGCTACTTAAAGCCACCTTGGTGGAGACAGATTTCCCTCATGTGGAGAGAAGGCGGACGCACCCTCCCACCAGCCCCGGAATTAGCACCGTGAAGGTGTGCTCCGGGGGACCCAGGCCCTGAAATGTTTTCGGGAAAGATACACAGCTATAGACACTGTGAATGAGCCAGGGAGTGTGCTGAGCGGGCTGAGTGTTCAGTCAGTGCCACTGGGGGCTGCTGCGTGTGCTGCCCGCTTGACCACGTAATCTTTACTGACTCGGTTTACTTGTTCTGGAGACACACTGGGACACGCTGGCCTCCCTGTCATGCCTTCTTGTCGCTAGAAATTGTTAACCTGCTTGTCCTGCTCTTTGTCTTATCTATTTCATTTCTTTTTTCTTTTTTTAAAGATTGTATTTAATTATTTTTAGAGAGAGGGAAGGGGAGGATGAAGAGAGGAAGAGAAACACTGATGTGAGAGAGAAACAATCTGTCGGTTGCCTCACACACTCCACTCCGGGACCTGACCCACAACCGAGGCATGTGCCCTGACCAGGAATTGAACCAGCAACCCTTCGGATTGTGGGGTGATGCCCAACCCACTGAGCCATGCCAGTCAGGGCTATTTTTTCTTTAATAGTTTTTTTCTATCTTCAGTTATATTTGACATAAAATATTACATTAGTTTCAGGTGTACAACATATGATTAGACATTTATATGACTTACGAAGTGATCACCCAGATAAACCTAGTACCCATCTAACACCATACACAGTTATTACAATATTATGGACTGTGATTTACATCCTCGTGACAATTCTGACTCCCAATTTGTACTTCTCAATCCCTTCACCGTTGTCCAACTTTAGGGAAGTATAATGGATCATCTAGTTATTTTATTGGGATATAACCATCATGCCCATGAAGTCTTATTTACTACTCGGTCAGAGTTGGAGCTAGGAACACAGTATATTTTTATTAAGTTTTACAAAAGCTTCGGTCCTTTTTTTTCTGAAGAGAATGTGGGACGTTTTTTCTATTTCCACAGGAATTATTGATAATGCATAAAAAAAGCACATAAGAGATGGTGAAGTAACTGGAGCCTAGTGTGCAGGGAATGGTTTGTACTCTCTGATCTTCCCAAGAGAGGTGTCATTTGCACTTAAATGAAGTGTGCAGCCAGGGATGCGCAGAGAGTAATTCAGCAGAGACTGCAGTGAGCTCTCCTACACGTTCAAGGCTCTGAAGTGAACTGAAGTAGAATCAAGTCTGGAGAACATTGAAGGAGACTAAATCTTACTCTGAGGCGTCACCGTCTCTGGGAAGCGCTGGCGGCTTCGGTTAAGTGTCCCGCTGGTGGCACTGGAGTGAGGGGGGGGCTTGCACGAGCAGCGCCGGGTCTGCTGACTGAGCTCAGACCCGCTGTCTGAATTTTTATGAGGTCATGTTTCATTTTGAAAGGCGCTTTGGGAGCTTAAGTGGAAAATCGAGATAATTCTAAAGTTGGTGATATGGAGGGAATTCGTTGGACACCGGAACTGAGAGCTACTTGGGAGGAAGGGATGGGTCGAGGGAGATATTTTTCAAAATAATAATTGCCAGCGGTTGGGTCAGCTGGGTTCTTGTTCTCCTGTCCCTGGCCAGCACGGTGTCTCCCAGGGTCCCGACAGTACTTGTTATAAAGAAACGCTATTCGTACTAGAAATTGTTTATTTGCTTATGAACTAGCCCTCTTCCTGTCTCCTTTCCAGGCCCCTCTTCGGTCCTTTCTGGTGTCGGCCTTATTTTTCTTCTTCTGCTTTTTTACCCACTTACATGTGGGTGAAAAGCTTTTACACAGAAAGCTTTTCTGTATAAAAATCAGCACACCAGTACACAAAGTTACCATTTGCTGATCTGAATCTTCCATTTTAATTATTTCTTACGGGGTCTCTTGGTTTTTATTAACTATTTTTCTCACGTCTATTTAGTTATGCTCCCTTACTTGTGATAGTAAAGTTTTGAGGACCAATTTGGAGCCCCAGAAAAGAAGTGCCAGTCATATTTCATTCTCACTCATCAGCCCCAACAAATAAAGCAGGAGTTTTCTGTTTTGACAGTGGGATGTGGACTTGTGTGTCTTGGCAAGGACGCCCTGCACCATCCGGCAAAGGATGATTTCATTTTCTGCCCCTGGGTAGCCTTTCAAATGAAATTAAACTTGATCCTGGATTTCGAAGTGGCAGTTGCTTTTTATTAAAATTTTACAGAGGGCAGCTGTAGAGGATATAAACCCAGCAGATGACCCTAATAATCAAGGCGAAGATGAGTTCGAGGAAGCCGAGCAAGTGAGAGAAGAAAATTTGCCAGATGAAAACGAAGAGCAGAAGCAAAGTCCTGAAAAGCAAGGGAATGCAGAAATGGAGGAGCATTTGGTGGTAAGCGGAGGCCTCTCGGGAAGGCGGCTTTATCCCGGGTATTGTAATAAATGCCTGGTTTATGCAAAAGATTAGTCATAACCTACACTGACAGACGGTCTGCCTCTTTGGCTGGTTTTCAAGCCATTATATGAAATGATGTGTCTGCACTCAGAGAGTGACGGGCGGCCTGGGCTTTTTGTGTTGGGAATGATTACTCATTATTTCCTGGCCACCGATGCATTGAAAGTACACTTCTCATGGCGGCATGCTTGTTCTCTGAGCACTATAAAACACAGCTCCAGTGTTCAGTGACCGGAGCCTCCCCTCTTGTTTCAACAGATGGCAGGAAACCCAGACCAGCAGGAGGATAATGTGGACGAGCAGTACCAGGAGGAGGGAGAGGAGGAGGTAGGACGGTGGGATGTGGGGGCCCGGTCACACTGCTCGGTGCATCGCACTAACCTTAAACAAGCCTCGGCGGCTTTGGCTCTGATAGGTCTTTCATGGAGATGTTCAGAAAGACTTAGGCAGGGCAGGACTTAGCAGGAGGAAAGAGACAATGGCCGTGAGACATGGGTTAGAAGATCCCAATAGGTGGGTAATGGAATCCCTTCTCTCCGGTTCTCAGCAGAAAGTTTGAACGAAGAAGACATTTGGCCTCTCAGCAACAGTGGGCCCAGGTGTGTGTGACCTCTGTGAGGCTGTTTTCCCCTGTATGTTTCCTCGTGAAAGAGAGAACAGCAAAGCTCTGCACATCAGGGGAGCCTGGCCTGACCCTGTGACTTCCTCTGTAGACAAGGCAAAGTGCGTGCCCCACAGGGGCACCCCACAGTGTCTGTCAGGTGCACCTCACACCCTGCAGACATGTAACAGACAAAACACATGGTCTTTACTTTTAGCCTTTTCCATCCCAAGAATTTGGTATCTTAATTAAATTTAAAAATACAAAAGAGGAAAATATGTAAGGGCTCAATTGAATGAAATGCATTTTGGTAGGATTTCTTAACCTGTCCTTTTAATTTGCTTTTTTTACTGTAAACTTTAGGCACACTGTTGTTAGTTCGGTTTGGAGCGTTGTGGGGCCGTGTTTGGTGACTGACCGAGGAGTGCTGTTGTTGTAGCTGCTCCGTCACCGCGCTTTACGGATGACTGAAGTCCTTGGGGACAAGATGTGGATGAGGCCCCGGGCCCCCTGTTCAGTCTCTCTCTGGACCAGTAAATGGTCCAGCAAATTAAATCCCTGTTTTAGAGGTGCCTCTCAGCCAGGCATCTTGCTCGTGTATGTGGCTTTGGCCCTAAGGGACACCACGAGAGAGGATGGACAAGTGGCAGCCTGGACAGACCACCCCGCCACTGGAGCCCCTGTGCACAATACCGGTGCTGCTGCACACACACACAGTTCCTGTGATGAGGTCTGCTGTCTCGTTTTTATGGCATTTGTCCTCTGTCAGAGCCGTTGCTAAAATGCGTGCTTCTACCAGGGAGACGAAAGGATGCCACGCGGCACAGCGTGGGCAGCACTCCGGGCACCCGCGCTCGGACGGGCTTGATCTTTCCACCCTCTTTCCTCACCCTAATCAAGACCCCAACTGCCTTATCAGAAGAGAGCATTAGAGAAACTAGCAGCCTTGAATATTAAGACATTTGGCAAGAAAAAGATATTCATCTGGACTTTTCTTATAGCAGGATGTCTAGACGAATATTACTTTATTCTATTATGGCAGATGCTGGGAGTCTTTTGAGATATTAAAAGGAAAGAGGTTCACCTTGGCTTTCCTTTGAAAATTCAGAAGGGTAAACATAAAATTTTAACCAGTATTTACTGATGATTTCTTTATTCCTGTGTGATAACAGTTAAGGCAAAGAAGAGAAATCCTGTAATCCAAGAGGGACTGAGAATTAAAAGAAAAGAAAGATGGGGGTGGGTGGGGAGAATGGTGGCCAGGCAGGAGGTTAGAGTCCCGCCCACGACAGCCACTCCCTTGGGCTGGGCTCTTCCTCCCTCCAGTGGGCGGAACTGACCGAGAGCCTTTCCCTGTCCCTGCACCAGGCCCTGGTCCTGCTTCTCTCTGGCCAGTTCCCTGCCCAGAATTCCCATGTCAGCCTCTGGGCCCACTTTCTAACCCATCTTGCACAGGCTGCAGGTTGCCACACCCTCTCACTTAGGCCTGTTGCCTGGTGAGCTCTTCGGGAAACCCACTGTGCCCTTCTTCTTTCCTGGGTAACTGTCCTCTCCGTCCCCTGAGTGTCCCTCGTTCAGGCTGTGTTGTCCTTTTCTGGTGGTTCCTGAGACGATCAGTATCGAGTCTTCCCACCCCTTTCCGCAGTTCCCAGTTCTCCCCATGAGGAGGGTGCAGGAGCGTGGTTCCCAAAAACCATTCAAGGACTAGTTACAGTTACAAACAAAGTTCTCAGTGGGTGGCAAAATGGGGGAGATGAGAGGAGTCCCAGGACGGGAGAGAGCACATTTTGTTGTTTGTCAGTGACTGTGTGTGAGACGCTGAAAACCACAGGATACTGTGTGATGCACATTGTTCTGTCTCCATCTGGCCTCAGGGTCCCCCAGCTGCCTCACTGGGATGCGGGCCCCACCGCTCTTGCCGGTGGCCCTCCCCTTGGGCGGAAGTGCATCCTGCTAGGGCAATCAGTACCTGTTTGGAGGTGCAGCACCTCAGACTTGTGACTGATTTTTAGGAAATTTGCACTGTTCCCACCTTTTATCTTAGTGCAGTGGTGTTAGTCACCCTTCAAAGACAGAAAGAGGGTGGCTGTGGACCAGCATTCACTGCTCATTGTTTGGGATTGTTTGAGGGGAAGACGTTCATGTGGTGAGATCATCCTCATGTGGCTGACTTAGCAGGTTATCTACTTATGAGCAAACAAGACAAATTATGACATTGCCCAAAAAAGGGCTCTGTGTGCTTTAAAATTAAATGTTAAAAAAATACGGAGATCGAATGACTGCTTGAAAGTGCTAAGTGCTGTTTCCCCAATCAACTGAAAACAGGCCAATGTAAACACTCGAGAGAGCGAGCACAAGGTTCTTTACTTGGCAGCCTGTGGTGGTGCTGCCGGCCTGTGCATCACCATGTCGAGAGCTGTCCGGGTGGCAAAAACTCTCCTGCAAAACATGGCTCAGCCAGCAGGGGTGCCCACCACTGAAGCTGACATTGCTGGAGGCTTTCCCTTGGTTACATTCCATCCCCCTGTTTGGATCCCGGCGTTCCTGATGACTTACAGTTCAGCCTTCTGGGTCCCAGCTCCTCCCATAACATCTTTGATGGATAAAAGAAAGGCATGAAGACAGGGACAGGGACAGGGGTAGCTGGCCAAAGCTCACCGCATTTTTAGTGGGTCTGTTTTGTTTTGGTTATTTATTAAACTTCGCCACACCACATGGGGACCATTTCTAAAAGGCCCCCAAAACATCAGAGTTCAGTGAACAAAAATGAGTAATGAGGAGCAGTGTTGGGAAATCTTTAACAAAATGTTTGTATCAGCTTTAATAGGATACCAAAGAGGGTCAAGTGTGGAAGACATAATTGGTGTATCTACATTATAAAAAAATGCTAACATTTGGCTTCTGGTTATTAGTCTAAGCATAACTTAAAATTAAAAATCCCATGTCATTTTTTTCCTTTTCAGTAATGCCTCTAAGATGAATTGGAATTACAGTACTTTTGCCCCAACCATAAAAAATACGTTACTAGAATAATAGTGTATATTTATAAATCTAAACAACTGCAACATTTTTATCTGTAGGTTCCCTAAATTAAAGAGTGATTTAAATCAGTCCTTCCCACCTCAGGTTATATTGACAACAAATTCCAAGGTAAGAAAAGAAAGAATTCGTAATATTTATCACTCTAGCCAGTATCCATGTCACTCAAGCAAGTGGCTGTCAGTGCTTGCTGTGGCAAAGAATCACCTTGGAGAGTGTGTGAAAAATACAAAGACTGGGTCTACCTTACCCTTGGAGATTTTGACCTTGTTTGTGGTGGACCTTGAAGTCAGAGTTGTACCCAAGCCCCTGGCTGACGCTGGTGTTCCAGGAGCACCCTATTTACAGACACAGCCCTAGGACAGATGGTCGCAGGGGAAACCTGGGAAGTCTAACCCTGCTGAAACTTCTATGCAAATTATGTACCTGTTTGCTGACCACTTTCTTACCGGAGTCATAAAAGGATCTGTGACTCCCCACGCCCCAGACAGTGATGGAAATCAGTACCTCTGCTGAGCACTGATTTTCATCCAACTCTTTATTTTACAAATAAGAAATCTGAGCTTCAACCAGCGTAGCGAAATGTTTGAAGGTCACACAGCTTGTTATTGTCAAACCATGACTAGAGCCCACCGAGGTCTTATTTTAAAGTGCACCCGGCATACACTCATGCATGTAACTAAGCAGTGGATATGGGCCAGTTGTTAGAAGTTAGTAAATGCAGAAGGAATGATAAAATTAGAGAGTCACCGTTTCTGTAACCCCTCATTAAAGCCATTGATGTAAGAGCACTCATCAGTGGATGATATCACTACTCGCTAAAAATCCTCACTTTGCAAATTGAATGTGAATTCACTCAAGCCTTAAGCTAACTTACTTTCATAAGAAATGTGGGGGCTGAAGGAATGAGTTAAGTGATGCCTTAAAGAAGTGAGTAATCAGTAACACTGAGGAGAAACGAGGAGAACCTAAGTTAGGAGTGACCTTTGCTTGGATGATGACGAGAACAAACCAACTGTCAATAGACATTTGTAAGCCAATCAGGACTGTGTCAGTATGGACTAGACAGTAGATGATACCATGAATCATTTGTCCGGTGGTTGAATGGCACTCTGGTTACATAAGACAAGCTCATTGCTTTTAGAGATGTATACTCAGATGGGTAGGGATGAAATGATATGATGTGTAGAATTTTGAGAAATAATTAATCACAAAATAAAGAAAAGCAAAAGTGTGGCAACTTTGTGATGACTTTTGACCTTGGTGATGACTATAAGGAGTTCATGAAATTATTTTCTTTCTGCGTGTGTGTGCTTGAAAATTTTTAGAATAAAAACAAATGAGCTCATTGTTAATACAGCCAGGAGAGCTGCAGAACCAAGGTTTTAGTCCGGGTTTGTCTGACCCCATAGTCAGTGTGTGACTGGCAAACTGAAGGCCTCGGCCTGTTTTGTGAGTGAGGTCTTCTTGAACGCAGCCCCGTGTTTTTACTCACGTATTGTCTGAGCCTGCTTCTGCACTGCAGTGGTGCAGCTGGGTAGTTGCTGCACCTTATGTCTGAGCAAGCCTGAATATGTACTCTCTGGACCCTTGACAGAAAGAGTGTGCTGACTTTGACTTATGTATCTTTTCCACCATTCTGCAGTTTCAAGGTAGTTTCCTCCCAACCCCAACTAAGCCATGTGTAGTGTTCACCAGCTACTGAAATTGACCGGGACACTTGAGCAATTTAACGATGTTTCAATTAGTAAGAACTTAATATAGTTTGAAATAAGTGCTTCATCATTTTCATCACAGTGTCCCGGGGAATGTTGTTATGAGGTTCTGTGACGAAGGGCAGAACAATGTCGTGGACACAGGAGGAGCCTGCTGGTGCAGCATGTGTCTTCTCTCTAGCTCAGCCCACCAGGACATGTAAATACGAAAGATGCTCTGCACCTCTGTCCCCGGAATGAGTTTATTTTGTGTCAGTGTAGTCGAGGGGCTGTGAGTCCAGCTGGTGTTGGGCTGGGTCATGAAAGCAGGCCTCTGTCCAGGGCATCTTTGAAAGGCCATCTTTGTAGGCTCCTAACAGCCCAGGTAGGTTGTGGTTCATTCCTGTTGCACCTGGGCTACACATCTCTTAATTTCTTGGTCCTTAATTAGAACATCTGCACACTTCCTTTCCTTGCCCATTTCTGGGATTTTGAACACCTTCCCGCTCTACACCAAACAAAATAAATCGGGTAATTTTATGTGTTATTCTAGGAGACTTCCTCTACACCATGGTCTTTGGAGAGATCAGGTTTTCTTTTGGTGCCAGGACAGTACATTATGCTTAATCACTGGCCAGCAGTTTTTCCAAATATATTCAAATGACTTAAACTATATGGTATGGCTTTTCAAAATAGTTAAGTTGGAAAATATCTTCTAACATTTTTCTAAATCATATATTTTGTAGGATGTAATCATTAAATAGAGATTATTTTAGCAAAAATATTTGGGTAGGCCCTGGCTGGTGTAGCTCAGTGGATTGAGCACAGGCCTGGGAACCAAGCAACCATGGTTCGATTCCCAGTCAGGGCACATGCCTGGGTTGCAGGCCAGTTCCCATCAGGGGATTCACAAGGGGCAACCATACATTGATATTTCTCTCCCTTTCTCTTTCTCTTCCCCTCTAAAGATAAATAAATTTTTTTAAAAATTAAAAATAATTTGGGTGATTTCTTTGATTTGCATTTTGAAAATTAATTGGTATCCATGACATAACAGTGATAATGTATATTACAGGACATTATTTGAAACAAATGTCCTGTTAGAACACTAAAAAGATGCAGGGATCTGAAGCAGTTTAATAACTATTCTATGAAGAAATTGAAATGGTCGTGTTCTGTGTTCTAGATATATGGGCCAGAAATTTTACTGTTAATTATAAATAGGTATGTCACATTTTTCTCAGTTTTCTCCTACCTTATATATAGGTTGTGGGATCTGTTTTCTGTGCTTACAGAGCACATGTTATTTGAACTGACTCATGTATTCATTCCTTCCACAGTATTTATTAAGCTGTGTGCCAGGCATGCATCTAGGTCCAGCAGACAGTTGCGTAAGGTTTTTTGTAGCAGGTGTAGTGTACATTTCTTCATAGCTAAGAGACAAGTCAAATATTTGGCTTTTCTCTTTTTTCGGATTTATTTTTAGTTTAGTTTTGTTGCTGCTACTTTGAGTGAACTTTTTAGAAATCACAATGTGTTGTTTCAAGTGCCCGAATGATAAAGGTGTCACCTCGTGTCTCTGGTTTGTTTCAGGTTCAGGAAGATTTGACTGAAGAGAAAAAGAGGGAATTGGAGCATAATGCTGAAGAGACCTATGGTGAAAATGATGAAAATGTATGTGTAGGGTGTGCATTTCCATCACGCATGTTTGCGTGTGTGTAGGAGACACCCGTGTATGGTGGACAGTCAGTGCATCTAAGGCGCCACAGAATTTAACAGGCCACCCTAGACTCAGGAAAATTTGTGACAATGTGAAGATTAGGAAAGACTGTAGCACTGTTGCCTACTAGAACATTAATTTTCACTTTTTTCTGTCCACCAAACATGAGTAACTTCTCACCTTTTTGTTTAAAAGAAGGGATTATTTGTCTCACTAACTCTGTGCCCTAACACTTTTTTTTTAAACTTTAAGGCTGATGAGAAAAACAATGATGGAGAAGAACGAGAAGTTCGAGCTGACAAACACCCCAAAGGCCGAGAAGAACACTACGAGGAGGAGGAGGAGGAGGAAGACGACGGGGCGGCTGTTGCTGAGAAGTCCCAGCGAAGAGCTGAAATGTAGCTGCAGCCCCAGCTGACAGACAACAGTCAGCCGACAGATTCCTTACAAGCTGCTCAAAACTAAGCCTGCCTACTGAACTCTAGGATATTTAATTACAAAAATTATGTATTTAGATTTTTTAAACTTTTGTATTAGAAATGCTCATACAATTATATGATATATTTTGATAACCTAGGTTAGAGCTTCTTTTATATTCAAGCTAAACCTGAGCAAAAAGAAAAACAATAAAGCAAACCTTAGGCTCTGAATCTCGTTTTTCAAAGACTATGTAATGTTGGAAAGGACATCGATTGTGTACATTTTTCAGCTTGTTTCTTTTCTCTATTCTGGTTTTCAGGTGTTTGTTGTGTCAGTTGCCTTTGATAAAATACAGGACTTCAGAATAAAGAATAGTGCAGAAATGCCATGTAGACTTGAAGGAGAATGGCCAGTTTACTAATTGCCCCTTTTTTGAGGTTCTTGTGCATCATTCCGATAGAATTTTCACCAGTCTTTGTATCTCTGGAGTAAGAGCCATTGAAAACCAACATTGTTTTCAGACTTGTCAGAACAGTTAGAAAAATATTTCACTTCAAAACACGGCTATTCTTTCTGAAAGGAATTAAATTTAAAAGTGAGATAGTACTAAAATTTATGTAACGGTATTCTGGACTTAGGTTTTTCAATATTCAGACAAGGTATGATACCTTAGTGCACTCACCTTTTTTGAAGGACTGACACATAGTTTAATAACTAATTTACTGTGTAGGGGCGATGTTTTCTACATGACCACCCATTCTGTTATTTTTCCAAAGCCACCTGGTGGTATTTGTTTCATTATCTAATTCCCCACAGTAATATATATTTCCCCTGTAAGCTCTGTGCCTCAGTACGTAATCACTTTGACGATAAGTGTGAATATGAAGATATACCAAGCTATACAACTGAATAAGATTATTTTTCAAAAACTGTACAACAGTATGATAAACCTTGGTGACTTTTTTCACTGCTGGGGTTGTGTCTGCATTGTGCCCACAGATAGACATTTTAATGATGATGAATTATAAAACTTAAAGAAGTGAAGAATCAGAAATTTCCCTTGTGATAGAGACATTTCAGTCTCAAGCATAAAGAGTTTTAGGTATATAAAATTAGGTAATTCATGTTTGTGGTTTTGTAATACTCTCAGATTAATAAAAAACATTTCCATTGCTACCACTGTGGGATGAATGTACTTTTATTTTGTAGTGACCACACTCACGTGTGGCTTTGAGTGTCCCAGCTGAGTGGTTGTATATGTACGCATAGGAATGTTTCTTCAAATGTGTTTTGGAATTTCAGTAATCCTAAGTCAAATTTTACCTTTATGTATAAAAACCCTTTATGTAATGTAAAATGTATAATATTGTACATAATATTCAGAATACAATTATTTTGGTAAATTAGTTTGTATTTTTAATGTCCCAGTTACAGTATTTAATTATTTGAAATATTGAAACTTGGTAATAGTCAATAAAGCCATAAAAAGGAAGTGACAAAGTTTAAAGTATGTGATTTTTTAATAGTTTGGGATTTTATAATTTCTTTTCCTTAAAAGGAAACAAATTTAAGAGGTACCAATATATATTAATAAATTATAAAATGCCTTTCTCAACCTGTTATTTTCCTCATACCTCTCCCTACTTCAATTGATGTGTGATCCCCCCCCGCCCCCTTGTCCTAAAGAAAGAGCTAAGAATTTTTATTTTATTCATGCTAGTTCTGGGGGAAGAAAAAAAGCATAGAATGTTTGAGCGTCATGCACACGAACAGCAGAAAGCAGCCATCACAAAACCATACTGCTCTCAGGGTGGCGTCAGTTATGTGGCCATGTTAGCTGATGTTCGGAGGACGACCAAGCAGCCCGAGCTTATCTACATCAATGAGATAAGCAGACATAAATTGTCACTTGTACTTATCTTGCCAATTAATCTATGGCTTCTGGTGCAACCTATAAGTCAAAGCATTTGGTACCATTGATGTAATCAGAAGGGGATAAAGGCACATTTACTGGAGACAAAAAAAGCTAAATTAGTACAAATACAGTGACTGGATAGTTATGAGAGTGATTGAACAGTATCTACGAGTGAGAGTCTGAGCCACATTAAGTCTGACTCCTATCAAGGAAAATACTGGTGTTTATTGACTGTCATAGTGAGACCGGTGTGTTGGTAGGACCCACTTCATCCCGCAGCGCTCCTTTCAGCTCCTCACTCCCCCATCCCCCAACTGCAGAAATTTGTTCAAGACTATTTGACATCGTTAAACTGCTTTGAGTTCTGTGCTTTATTTTTGGTTCTCTCATTACATTGTGGTATGCTAGGGCATGTTGCACGGCAATTTTTAAAAATGAGGTCAACTTCTACTGGATCATCTTTTGGCCTTCATTGTACTATCTATTCCTAGTTTTCTTCTTTCTATTCTGGCTACTCAATTCTTTTTTGCAGAGGTCTCTTCCTATGTTTTCCCCTTAAATATCTATGTCCTTTGACTTTTGACCTGGCGGTCTGCTCCCTGCTTCGCCCTCTTCCCACCCACATCTCAGGCACGTCTCCCGATCCGTCTCCTCAGCCTGGCTTTCTATGACCTGTCCAACACAGGTTCCTCATTTTCAAAGCTGAGCTTGCATTTCCCACCTAAAACCCACTTATCTTTCTAGGTTCTGCATTTCAATTCACCAAGGCTACCAAAACAAAACAAAAAAAACTTCGTCCTTGATTCTGTCTTTTCTCTTTATAGTTGCTACCAAAGTATCCTTAACTTTACCCATTTCTGTCCACCCACCCCTGCTGGTTCAGGCCCTGTTATCTTTTTGTCTGGACAATTGTAACGGTCCCCTAACTTCTCTCCTCACTTATTCTCGCCTCCCAAACTCTACAGTCTGTGCTAGTGTGATCTTTCTAAAGTTAACACTAACACTGCCACTTTATAAAATGATTCAATAAGATTTCTATTGTCCATACGAAAAATCCTGGACTCCTAGTATGATCTACATAATTCTTCATGATCTGGCACCATCTTACCTCTTCAGCCTTATAATTGACATTCTAAACTGAATCATAATATACATGACTCTTCTATGTCAAGCACATTTCTCTCTTAATGTGTTAGTAAGCAATCTTGACCCCTGTCCTTCAATGGGAGGTCAACCTGAACAAAGCCAATAATACTAACCCATCTCCTTGGACAACATACTCGGTCCAAGATGGGCACACGACTGAATTTCTTCCCTGGGAATTTTTGTTGTTGGAGGGCAATTACGGGGTTTCTACACATCTTGTGACAGCTTTTCTCCTGGACTATCTTTTCAGAAATAAATAAATTGCATACATCTATGCTTTTAATCCCATTCTCAGTGATAACGTCAAATTCCAGTATGAACCAAAATTGTTTTAATTTCTCTTTCACAAGCTTGAATTTCATCCAATTTCTTAAGTATTTCACATCTCTTTTTAACCTTGTCGATAAGAGTAGGTTGATCCTCCTTCCTCACATTTTTTTCAGGTGATTCTGGAGATATTTTTTTAAAGCAAAGCATTATTTTGTTTAATATCATAGCCCTTAGCCATCATGTGTTATTAGCAATATTATGTTATACATCGCCATGAGTCTTATATAGCTAGAACATATAATGTGCACCAGAAAGGATACTTGCCTAACAAACAGCCAGAAGTTAAAGCTAGTGTCTCCTGGGTCAGCAGGCATGCGCGCTCCCTGACTAGGAAGTAGAGGACAGACGACCTAACCCACAAGGACAAGCAAAGAGCAGAAGCACAGGTGCATTTTTTTCAGTCCCTGTATCTTGCCATCCCTGATGCCAGCCAAGTCCAGCCATAAGTTGATCAATAAGCCAAAAAATTCTAGTTTTTTTATTTGAGCTAGTTGGCTTGCCACCTGAAGATTCCTAATAGTTGACTAACATTCAGTTCCTTTAAAGCATTATGCCTCCCATATCTTGGTAAAATTGTCTCCTACTCTCCCCCAAGATACTGTTCAATCCTTATGCTCTTCTCTCATTTGCTCGGCTCATTGCTCTAAGTCTCAACTTAGGTACGAGTTCCTCAGGGGAGAGGCTTACCTCTCCCACCACCTGCTCTCCCCTGCCGAGTCTGCTTTGCATACCTTTTCTCTGTCTTGCAGCAGTATCCCGTGTTTTGTATCACGGTTCTTACCACAGTGTGTGGAAACCACTATTAACTTGTCTATATACTTGACATGTATGTTCGATGAGGGTAGAGACCTTATTTCTCTTGTTTATGGTCGCATCCCAATCTGGGATACTTTCAGTAGATATTTACTAAGTGACTAGCTTATGACCCTCATTTGTAAAATGAGGATATTGATTATTTCAAGATCACACAATTCTAAATAAGTGGCAGAGTACATTTTCTTCCCAAGTGAATCTGATTCCAATGCTAATTCTAAATATAGCAGGAGTTGTATGGATCACTAGCCAGTGTCAGTCCTGTTTTGAGTTTCATATATTCAGAAGGTGAGTTTTAAATTAAAAAAAACAACAACAAATGTAATGGAAGTAAAAAAAAAAAAGAGGAAAGTCTCAGCCATAGGGTTTAGGGAAGGAAACAAGAAATTGGAATTCTTTGACCTGAGATCAGAGGAAGATGTAACACTGTGTCTGTCTTCTTTGAAGCATCAGTTAGAGCATCAGGAATAAAGAAGTTCTTGAAAAACAGGTGAAAGGAGTTGTAAAACCAAGAGAGTAAAATCAGAATATATTAAATGCCATTTACAAGTGGCTTGCATAAGCTTCTTAATAGGGATTAGATGCAATATCCTCTTAGAATGTCCTCGGCTGCTGTGACCACGTGGGAGGGCCAGTTGTAACCAGGGATGAGCACACGACTGGGCTTCCTGCTCATCCACTGATGGTCTCCTCCTCCACACACCACTTTCTCTTCCGCTCTTCATGTGGAGGAAGGCCCAACCCATCACCACAGGGAGAATCCCAAACCAACCATTCTTCTCCATCTTCTTGGATTTCTATACTGAGGCAGGTATTAGGAAGATATTCCTTCCTTTCAAATTAAGCAAAATGCTCTCTGGCTCTGGTGAGGGCAGGGAACATACATCTGGAGCTGCCAGGGGTCATTCTCCCCATGACACGGAGAAAATCCAGTTGCAGGGGGAAATAATGAAGCCAACACAGAAAGCAGGATAGAATAAGGGTCTAGGGAGAGAGGGGGGAAAGTGGGAAAGGGAGGGAGGCAGTCATAAAGAAAGAGAATCGTGTTTAAATTCCCAGGTTCTAATTTCCTTTGATTTTATTTGCCAATAAATATCTTTCTCCTCCCCTCTTTTGTTTCATAAGCAAGTTTGAGGTTTTTTCTATTATGTACAACCTCAAGAATGTTGACTGACTCTAGAGTCATATTTTTCTTTATGGGGCAGAACAACAGTAGAGTGGGAGAAAATACTTTTAGTCATATTGTCCTAAAAGTAGCAAGTTTTAATAAATAATGACATGCTGTTTTGTCAATCTGTTGATTGCCATGTTTTCTCTTGGATCTATCTGCCTTTAAGGCTCAAATGCTCTGTGATGAAAAGTTGAGGGATTAGTTTGGTCTGGTGTGGCTCAGTGGATTGAGTGCCAGCCTGTGAACCCAAGGGTTGCTGGTCCAATTCCCAAGCAAGGCACACACACAGGTTGTGGTCCCCAGTTGGGGGCACTCAAGAGGCAACCATACATTGATGTTTCTCTTTCTTCCTCCCTTCCCCTCTCTCTAAAAATAAATAAAAAAATCTTTTAAAAAAAGCTTAGGGATTCTTGTAATAAAATTTAAAATACTTGTATATTTCTATTCTTTAGCCAATACCAAAGATTGGCAAACAGATTTCTGTAAGGGTCCAAATAGTAAATCTTTTAGTCCTTGAGGGCCATAGAGACTTTTCTGAAACTGCTTACTCTGTCCATTTTACTGTGAAAGTAGCAGAGACACTGTATACAGGGATGAGCATAGCTGTGTTCCAATAAAACGTGATTTACATAGGTAGAAAGCATGCCAGCTTTGGCCTGCAGGCTGTAGACACCTGTTCTATATGATCCAAATGCTCACTGTAAAAGCAATGACTTCAACAGAAAATAGAGCATTTTGAGAACTTTAGCTATAAAGTCTTTCCAGCTCTCTCCCATAAACCTTTTGATTCTGAGTTGGCAAGCATTCGACATTATCTTAGCTGCTGCATCAATACACTGTTTTAAGTAATTGGAAATGAAATACTTTTGTCCCTTACCAACTTGGCTGACCTTGTTCTCACCATTCCCTGTATGGTACTAATGATGCTTGAAATTAAATGTCATTTCTGTTTATCTGCTAACACATATACAGCATCCCCCATAAAGTACATATCTTTTAAAGAACTGATTCATTGGAAAACATGAATGTGAGCAAGATAAGACGACTTCTCTTGATCTGGTATGTTTGTCCTCTTTCTAAGACACATAAGGTATAGGAACACATAATCATGCTTGCTCATTAATATGTTAGCAATAATCAAATTTGTTGTCTCGACTCAGAGTTTTGGGGTTCTGTGGGTCTCTGATTTGTGTCAAGTTTATGCATCTTAGTGGAATCAGATTGTTTTTTTCCATAAACG